AGTTCTCACCTACATCGTCCACAAGGGACGACTCGGGAACTCAACTCCTACCTCGGGCAGCTCACCTTTCCCCCTATGCCCAGGGGAGAGGTATCAAGCCGTTTGACAGCTGATGCAGGCTGTCAAAACGGCTTTTACGCAGAAACAGGCGGGAGCAGCAAACAGCTGCGTCCAGCGAAGGCGCCTGCCACCGGAAGTCCCTGGGAACACTTAAAACATTGAATGGTAGGGGTTGATCCCTCAGATCCTGTCTAGAATGCCTGCAATCATTTTCTCTTAATAAAGATGCCTGTTGGAAGAGATATTCCAAGAGTTCTGTCTTCTTAAGATGTAAAGTGAGGTGGGTCCTTATAGTCATATCATTTGTTCCCACATGGAAGAGAAGAAAGGGATAAAAAACTGTGGGCTTGATTATTTTAATAAGTCACATCTTTGATTTTTGCTCCTGGGAGAATTGGATTGCTTGATGATACCCCTTCTCATCTAAAATTAAACATTTCAAAAAATTTAAAATATTGTTTTGGAAAAATTTTAAACTAAAAAATTCTATTCTTAAATGTTAGTCTTTTAATGTTAAATGCCTTAAACTTAAATCGTCTATAGTTTGTAATCGAAAGACATATAAAAGACTGATAGATGCAGGGCTTTTTTTCTCATAGAATGCCCAGAACGGAGTTCCGGCACCTTTTTTGAATGGAACCTTGTAGGATAGGCAAGACGGGTTATATGACGTATGTGAGTTCCGGCACCTTTTATTTTTAGAAAAAAAGCACTGGACAGATGAATAAAACAATGAAAAGAAAAATATAAAATCTCAGCTAAAAATGAAGTATCAGCTTGTAGTTAATGTAAACGGTTATAAAAATATTAGTAGTTTGTAATAATACTGAAGAGGTTCTTTCCTTTAACAATATTGCAATCTTTATTAGTTTTTAATCCACACGATAGAATCATAATTGTAGAGAAATAGAAACTCAGTGTCTTATTGCTAGGTTAGAGTAATAATTGCAGAAAAATAGAAACTGTGGTATCTTATTGTCAGCTTAGAACACAGATCTACAATCCTCATAAATCACAGTTTTACTGCTCTCATAACTTTACTGGCTTACTTAAATTTGCAGTTTTGCTTTGTGGTTAGTGGAAACAAAGCCTTGCCTTGCAACAATTAGAGGTTCTTTAGCATAAACAAAACTTTGCCTTGCAGTAGCCAAAGGGTCTATAAATGATCATTCAGTTTATTCAGATCATATATAGAAATTCATATTCAGTTCATTCATATAAATTCAGTTCATAGTGATTATAATCCTTGTAAATATATAAAACATATGGTTGGGGAAAAAACCTTTGCACACAGATTGCATTCAATTAATTTCATAAAGTATAATCTTAAAAGTATGCAGCTCTTAATATTAAAAAAAACTTTGCAGTTATATTGAAAAATTAAAAAGAAAACATTTATAGACATAAATTTGTAGTTGATATAAAGCAAAAGAAGAAATAGTAAATACTGAGTTGGTGTGATTTGTCACCTCTCTTTGGTGTAACAAAGGGAAGGGCTCCTCTCTCTCCAACAAAGAGTGCTGACAGTCATATCATTCTCCTGAACTCATCAGAATAAAATTTTGCATCCAAGTAAAATTCTGTTTCCCACAAAATCTTCTCTTCTTTTCAAGTCCAGTCTTTTCTCCATTCTTTAGACCCCTTACAACCTGCAGTCTTCAGGGAGAGAACAATGAGCTAACAGGATGCTAAAAACCCTATTAGATAAACTTTGTAAAAAGAAGCATTTATCAAGGCCCCAAATCCAACCGTAGCCTTGTTCCCCTTTCCTAGACCTAAGAAAGATATAGAGATCTCTCCTTATGAGTTGCTGCTTGGGAAATCACTTGAGGTTATGAAAGGGCTACACTCTAATCTCTAAACCTAGAAATTGGGGCTGTCAACTTGACTGGATTTCACTGTGTTGTCTTTGGGCTTAGGTCTGAGAGAAACTGATAGTCTACTATTTACTCATTTTCTCAATTCTGTTATCTATGATAGATAATATGCATACTATATTATACTATATTACACAATAATATGGTTTAGACAGCCAGTTTGCTGTAGTAATTAAGGCATTAGGCTAGAAACCAGAAAATGAGTTCCAGTCCAGTCTTGGGTACAAAGTCAGCTGGATAACTATTTGTTTGTTTATTAAATTTTTACCTTTCCCTTCTCAATGATAAGGTGAGTTACAGAAAATAAAAAAGTATAGAAACAATTAAAATTTTTAAACAGTATATAAAAACTAGAACCAAGGAGACAAATGATATTGGGATAAGATTTCTTCTTACTCTGTCAACCACTTCCAGTAGTTACCTCCTAAGGCAACTAGCTAAACCAGGTTTTGATACTCTTCTGGAAGGTTTGAAGAGTTGGAACAGTTTTCACTTCTGATTACAGAGCTGGGGCTCTTTAGTGTAACAAAGGGAAGGGGGAAAGGCTCTTTTCTTTGACATTACTAGCTGGAATTTCTTGGCTGACAGGGTCCACAGCAGGCTCCTTCCACTGGAGTGGGTGGGGCAGGCTAGTCTTATTGGAGTGAGATCGCTCCTCAAATAGCCTAGGCCAGTGTTTCTCAACCTTGACAATTTTAAGGCATGTGGACTTCAACTCCCAGAATTCCACAGCCAGCATTGCTGGCTGTGGAATTCTGGGAGTTGAAGTCCACATGTCTTAAAATTGTCAAGGTTGAGAAACACTGGCCTAGACCCATGCCAGTTAGGGTTCTGGACCAGTCACTTTTTCTCAGCCCTAAGAAGAAAGCTATGGCAAACTACTTCTGAAAAACCTTGTCAAAAAAATTGCAGTCTTGTTCAGGCAGTCTCCAAGAACCAGAAAAGACTGAATGGAAGAATATCCTCCTTCTCCTCCTCCTCCTCCTCCTCCTCATCATAATCATCATCATTTTAGCCATTGTCTAACCACTGCAGGTTGAAGGCCTCTTTCACGTTTCCAACCAATAAGGTCTTGAGCTTTCTTTTACCAATTGGGTCCATCTTGTAAAATCTTAATTTTTATTCTAGATTTTCCTTCATTCAATATAAATCTGTTGAATGTTTTTTGCCATTCTTGCAAAATTTTATATGGGAATAAAATTGGCTCCATTTCAAATTTTAAAAATTGTCTTGAATAATATATTCATTTTAAGAGTCTCTGTTAATCCTAACCAGGAGAGTTTAATTTTTTCCATCTTTTAAAGTCTTTTTAAAATTTTCTTTCAAAAGTGTGACTTCTAAGCAAAAGTCATGACTATTGTGGCAATGGAGCACTTCCCCAACAACTGTATCATTCAGATGGTGCAGACTGTATTAACTGATTCTCCAATCATGTCACCTGTCCCTAATAGGAGACCCTCACTCTCCATATATTGCACTTACACAAAGTCTTTGCAATATAAGCAGAAGGTGAAATGCTTACTGAATGGTAATTCTGTAAGCTTAAGTAAACTTCCAGACTGAGAAATGAAACTATTCGTTTATTCTGTCTTTGCATTTTATATAATAGCAAAAAGAAATCAGACGAGAGTCCAAGGGATACATAGGTTTTGTGCTCTGTGGAAATAGCTATATTTTCAGAATTCCTACAATCCTACTACACCAGTCCATGCTTATCCATAAACACCAGGTGGAAGCACCAGATAAATCATTTCATGCAATTTATGTTAGGACATATGCTATTTTTCATTTACATTCAGTTTAGCATATTTAAAACTGTTGCAACACAATCAATTCCTATGGTGATGAATAGCATTTGTAAGCCATTAAAATCAGTCTTTACTGTTTTTTTTAGAAATCCTTGAAAATATAATATATTGAAATAACAGTATTAAAATTACAATATTTTGATAGTAAAGTTTGCAAATATATTTTAGAGAAGAAATTTATGTACAAATATGAAATTATATAAACCCTCTAAAATATATTTACAAACTTTAATATCAAAATATTATATTTTTAATTCTGTTATTTCAATATATTTTGCTCTTACATTTCTTGATATATATGTTCCATACGTTGGCTTGTGTCATTGTCTTTATGTTTCAGTAATGGTTCCATACAAGAATTAATTTTGTAGACAGAACTGCTTCTCCATTAAACATTTTTTGAAACAATAATTAAAAGACAGAAGTACCATTCAACAGTGGTTTATCCAATGTAATCAGATGAACTCCCAGTTTCCTTTTTATAACCTGTTAAAAATAGCCTCTTTTCCATATAGGCTCCTTTCCATTATTTTTTTGGTGGAAAAACATTTTGTTCATATTGCCCAGAATTTACAATGTTGCCAGCAGGTTCATATCTAGCCACTACAAATGTGGAGCCATCACTTGCAACTGCTTTTCCAACTCCCATCTTTTTTGTGTTCTTCCAAACCATTGCTGTAAAATGACCTGAAAAATCAAGAGTATTGTAAAAAATAATGCATAAGCATTTAAAAAAAATACTTTGGTCATAAGTATCAGACCATACTAAGCAAAGAAAAAGAAATAACAACTTAGTGGTTTATGAAAAACTGCTTCAAGTAATTACAGGATATTACATGTGAATGAAAGAAGTTTGCTTTTGTAAGATTCTAAAAATAAAAATCTTGTGGGCTAACTTAAACAGGCAAAGAATGCTTGATTATTTTCCTGTTTTACCATAAGTCAAAGTAAATAGGACAGAATTGCCTCAATTTATAGTAAATTATAATAATGAATACAAGCAAACTATTCTTGGCTAAGTGTAATACATACTTCCACATGCATATATTTTTCCTGCAGCAAATGCAAAATAGATTATTGATCAGAGAGATATACTGATTTGACTATATATATTATATTGACAGTGGCTTGAAACAAAGGGTTCTTTATCTCAATCTCATTTCAGAATCATTGTTGATAAGCAAAATTGCTTTTCTTTTTTTCTTTTTTTCTTTTTAATTGTTCTTTTTTTTTTCTCTTTACAAAAAACAAAATATAAAGTACATTTTTCTTTTTTCTTAACAATACTATGTCCTATATCTCTTACATTTATTTACACTTATTTACATTACTTCTCATACTTTTTTATTCCTCAATTCTAACCAATTGTATTACCTGTCCCATATCTCATAAAATTCTGTAACCTCCTTGTCTTTTATTTCTAGAGTAAGTTTGTACATCTCAGCACATTCTAGTATCTTGTAAATAATCATTACATTTGTTGGTATATTTTCCCTTTTCCAGCATTGCGCATATGCAATGCGTGTAGCAGTTATTATGTGTATAATGATGTATTGAAGTTGTTTTTCCATCTTTGGATTGATTATGCCTAATAGGAATATTTCAGGTTTAAGTTCAATTTGTTCTTTTGTTATTTCTTGTATCCATCTCCTTATCTGCTCCCAATAAGTCTTTGCTTTGGGGCATTGCCATCACATATGATAAAATGTTCCCTCTTTATTTTTACATTTCCAACAGTCCGGATTCATATTTTTATATATCTTAGCCAATCTCGCCGGTGCTAAATGCCATCTATAGAATATTTTATATTGGTTTTCTTTGTATGCGGTTGACAATGTTAGTTTGTAATTTTTGTTCCATACTCTTTCCCATTCATCTAATTTTATATATCTACCTATATTTCGTGCCCATGCTATCATTGGACCTTTTACTATTTCTTCTTCCAGTTCAACTTCTAATAAAAGTTTATAGTTTTTTGTTAAAAATTTTCCTCTCTTGCTTGTCAATATTTTGTCCAATTGCTGTGGTATCCGACTTATTCCATACTTTTCCATATCTTTACTATATTTTGATTGTATCTGTAAATATGGCCTCCAATCGATAATTATTCCCTGTTCTTTTAATTCCTCCCTTGATCTAAGATTCCCTTGATTGTCTAATAATTCTTTATACCTTATCATCTTTGTTTTATCCAGTGTATTTGGGTGAATCATTGCCTCCATTGGTGAGGTCCAATTTGGAATTTTCATATAATGTTGTTTTTTTACTTTTTCCCATGTCCAAATTAATAGTATGTGTGGGACTTCTTATCTTTTCCCCATAAAAAAGCATGCCAACCAGCCTATAAATCATGACCTTCAATTGTTAGAATCCTTTTGTTTTCTAAATTAATCCAATCACTAATCCAAAGCAACCCCACTGCTTGGTAATAATTTTCCCATTTTGGAAGCCCAAGGCCACCTCTACTTCTACTATCCTGTAACGCTTTAACATTTATTCGTGCTTTTTTGCCTAACCATATGAATTTTTAGACACTGGAGGAAATATTTATTTAATTGTATTGTTTGTTTTACTGTATCACTGTGTTTGGGAATGCTGTTATTACTATTATATTTATTTGGATTCCATGGGGGGGATAATGTTGAAATACTGAACTAAAACTCTACTATTTGTTCTCTTGTACCTAGCCTTGCTCTCAATTTTGTCCGCAAATTGGTATCAAGAAGCCTGCTCCTTTGTTATTAAATATAATTTTAATTAGAAGCAGTTTCCAGTAGATTTACGTAGATTAATGAATTTGTCTAATCCCCTTCTGAATCTCCATATGATGCCATGATGACCACCTTGTGATAGCTATTTTAAGGCATTTGTTATGCACTCTGTGAAAAAAAGTTCCCATTTTCCCCCCCATTTAGTTTCATTCATTGTCTAAATATTTTAATACGCATGATTTAATAAAATGATTAAATGGCTGGAGATTAAAACATATGCAGGAACTGGATATAGCTATTCTAGAGAAAAGGAGGACTAATGGTGACTGTCAACCTCCAGCTCGAGTATCCAAATAAAAGTCCAGGATTATTTTCATTTCTAAAAAGCTTACTGTTTATTGAATACATGGCCTGGTAAAGATGAGGAAAAACTAACTCTAAAGACCACAGCATACAAAATGACTTTCATAGCCAACCCCCCCCCCCAGATGTTCATGTAACTAATGTAAACAAGTTCTTTTTGTTATGGGACTCATCTGCTATCTTCTGCTACCACACATTGCTGGCTCATATTTAAGTGATCATCCACTAGGAGAAAGGTCCCTCTCACAGTTACTGCTAGAATGTCCTTGAAAGGCTTCCATACTGCTGATTCTCAGCAAGGTTCTGTAGAATTGGAGAGGTTTCATTTCTCTAACTAACCCATTCAAAAGCAACACCTCCCCCCTTACTCTAATGACAAGATGAAAATAGAGATGCGTGTAGCTGACATGTTGCCCACTCAGCAGAAGAATGGATCTGGAAAAATAATAAAATAATAAAATAAACACACACACACACACATTGATAACTATCTCATGCCCAATTTCCCTTTCCACACTGAGATCAGTTAGGGTATTTTAAATGGAATTTTCTTATTAGCCTATCTGCTCTAACATTTATAGCTGCCATCCACTGTGCCTTTTCCCATTATTTCCCGTTATTTCCTTTTCCCGATTTTAATAAATTGGTTATAGGCAAAGCAATCTGCACAAAAGTGGGTATGAACTGTCTGTAGAAATTGGCAAACCCCAGGAAATTTTGCAACTTCCTTCACATCCAGGGAGCTTCCCATTTCAAAATGGCCTTTACTATCTCTGGATCTATTTCTATGCCTCCAGCAGAAACACAATACTCCAAGTAATCTAAACTGATATTGTGACAAGGACAGGACAAGGTTGAAGATCTTGACCGATATGTTGTCAGTAATCCATCAAATTTAACTCCACCTCAGTAGCTAACTGGTACCTGTCACAGAGGAGATGGGGCACCTCTCTGGGTAGACAGTTGAAATACAGTTCCTTGTTAACCCATCTTGAAATTAGTAGACTAACATAAGCTCTGGCCAACTTCTGACATGAGTGACCAAGATACAAAATTCCCAAATATATTCAGCCAGTCTCTTCCCTTGCTTGATTGATCAGACTCTCGCATCAGCCTTTCTTGCTTCAGCAGGATCTTCAAACTGATTCTGTAGCTCTTGCATGAAGCAATCCACATCAAGGAGCTCTGAGGCTACCTCATCATAGAGGGACATGAACCACTCTGCTGCTTCCCCTTCTAGCTTCACTGAAATAACATTCACCCACGATCTGACATTAAGGTCTCTGTCACCATAATTTTCTAAATAGTTCCACACCCAGGTCAGGAAATAAGCCAGCTTTTCTGGTTGTCTGTCAAACTTGACTTTAAAAAGAGGAGGCTGGGGCTCTTCCTTCACCAGCACATAGATGGATGGCAGACCTGTTCCTGGTAACACTGCCTGAGCCCCTCTCCAATCAGTTAGCTGGGGGTCAGGTGGTGTCCCAACTTTTGTCAGGACAGAAGTGGCTGGAATATGGTCCCTCGGTTCCCCACCTGGGTGACTCCTGCCATCCCAGACCAGAGCGAAGCTACTGGCTGTTGCGAAGATGGAGGTGGGATAATAGGGTAATGAGCCAAACCCACGACTGATCACTTTGGTGGGACAGCTCTTTGCACCTCCAATCCCCTGAACTTCTCTCTTAATTGTTCCACAGAAGGGCTGTGAGTTGGCATAGGGAGTCTCCAATCCATCACCTCTCTCCATTCTGCTGCCCTCTTGGATGCCTTTATTGGCCCAGCCTCAGATTGAGCCAAAAGAAACTCAGCTTCTGCTGTCTTCCTGAGGCCACTCACCCACATAGTTCATGGTGCCAGAGAAGGAATCTCTGAACCTCCTCCAGCAGTTCGAGTTGGCTCTAATGATCCAGCTTTCTGCTTTGGGTGAGCTCTTGTCGATAAATCAGTCTCTCTTGTCTGGATTATAGTCACTGTATTCAGAAGAGGAGCTTTTCCATGAGGTGACCCTCTACTGGTCTTTTTCATTGCAGAACTCACAATATACTAGCACTCCTGGGAGAGAAACCCAGGTAGGCTGCAAACTGTAGGAGAGTTAGTTTAATGTCAATCTCCAGCTCGAGTATCCAAATAAAAGTCCAGGATTATTTTTATTTCTGAAAAGCTTACTGTCTGTTGAATACATGACCTGGTAAAGGCAAGGAAAAACTAACTCTAAAGTCCCAAAGCATCAGACCATAGCATATAACAATGACTTTTCCAGACAAACCCCTTACATGTAGCTCATATAAGCAAGTTCTCTTTGTTATGTGACCCATCTGCTATCTTCTTCACATCTCTTTGAAAGGTTTCCATACTGCCAACTCTCAGCAACCTTCCATAGAACTGGAGAGGTTTCATTTCTCTAACTAACCCATTCAAAAGCAACACCTCCCCACCTTACTCTGATGGCAAGATGAAAACAGAAAGGCACATAGCTGCCAAATTTTCACTTTTGACAGTGATATGATAGCAGTATTCCAATATTTGGGGAGCTGCCACAAAGGGGTCAACTTATTTTCCAAAGCATGAAAGGGCAGGAAAGAGAACAATTAATCAGTGGGACAGCTTGCCATCAGA